GACTTAACAGCTGAAATTAAAAGGCTCGTTTTCTTTTCTTTTCATGAGATTGAAACATTTCCGATTGAAGCGCTTTGTGAAATAATGTACAACTCTGATGACAAACAAGTATGCTCCATTCATACTTTACAAAACTTTCTTATCTACTTTGAAAGAGAAAAGATTTTAAGATCTGTTGAAGAGCAAAGGGCATATTTCCAGCTTTTATCTAAGCTTACCATGAGCATACCATTGTTAGGAAACTGTAGAGACTGTGTTGATGACACACCTGATGAATTTGACAGTGATAGCGATGATATTGAACATGGTATTTTAAATGACTGCTTAGACCTAATCAATAGTACTGAAAGAACTGACAAATGGAACTCTGCTTTACTTGCTATGATAAAAAGAAAAGATTATGATGGGTTGTTGTGGTTCTGTAAGTGCTTATATCATGTTTGGCTTCATGATTCTCCTCCTATTTATAAATATAGGCTCATCAGAAAAGTTGGGTTTCAACCATCTTTTTTGAAAGCATTATGGAATTATATCAATCAACAAAAAAGAATTTTGAGTTTTTCTTCTCAATTGCTCAGCGTAACTGTTTTAAGTATGTTGTCAGCTGGAGTTTTTATAACAGCCGAGGAAGCAGACAAACTAATACCAACTATGACAATGTTCTGCTTCTTGTTAAAAAATTATATTGCACTATCAAGTGATGAAACTTTGCATAATGGAGAATTGCTATCAGAGGCAGGGCATCCAGTCGCATTTTCCTTGAATGATATAGTTTCAATTTGCAGTGTATTTAAGGAGGTAACAATAGGAATTATTTCACTAGCATTTCCATCCTTAACTTTTGATGGAACCGAACAGAGATTAGATTTGTCAACTCCAACCCAACATTTGAAGTTGAATTCCTTGGAATGGAAAACTCTTCTTGAACAAATTGTAAGTTTGTTAAAGTCATTGTATGACAGAGATTGTCGACAGCAGTTCACAGATGATTCATCACACTGGTTATCAAGTGCAATGGAAGACTCAAATCAATTATTTTTTCAATTGAAAGGATTTGAAAATATAAGCCTATTCTCTTCCAACCTCTTCTCTTCACTTCAACAGAATACAATTAAACCATTTACTGTTGCCGAATGTAGGTATCTTACTGTCATAAAGACTTTGCCATTCACAGTCAGTTTTCTTAAACGTTTTTCACTTTATCAAAAGTATATTGCTGAAGATAAACTGGAATTTCAAGATCCAAACCTGCATTTCTTAAATGTTTCTAATATACTTTTAGGAATTCGGCGTGACTACCTATATGAAGATACTTTTGAAAGGTTGCTGTTAGAGCCCGAGATTAAAAGAGTGATAAGAGTCAATTTGATCAGCACTGTTGGTGTTGAAGAACAAGGAATTGATGGTGGAGGGCTGTTCAGGGAATTCATATTGGAATTTCTTAAAACAGCATTTGATCCTAACAGAGGTTTTTTTATAATGACTCGTAACAATGAATTTTATCCTAATCCTAACATCCATGTCATATGTAATGACTACAAAACACACTATAACTTTATAGGAAAGATGCTTGGAAAAGCTTTATTCGAAAATATAGTAGTCGAAGTGACCTTGGCTGATTTCTTTCTGACTGAGATTTTGGGTTTCTACAATGAATTTTACCTAAATGGTTTAGCCAATCTAGATCCAGATTTATACAAAAACCTGATATCCCTGACTTGCTATGAAGGAGATTTATCTGAATTAGGATTGGATTTTACATTAACACTTAATGATTTTGGAGAAAATAAAGTGGTCGAATTGAAGCCCAATGGAAAAGATATTCCAGTAAATGGAGAAAATGTACTCGAGTATGTTTATTTAGTGGCACAATGTAAGGTTCATTCACAGATCAAAGAGCAAACATCTTCCTTTTCTGAAGGATTGGACAGTGTTGTTTCTCTTGAATGGCTAAATATTTTTACAGCTAAAGAGTTGCAAATAATTATTTCTGGAAATAAATGCCCAATAGATGTTGATGATATGAAAGCACATACTGTTTACACAGGAGGTCACACACAAGACCATCCCTCAATTGTAATGTTCTGGAGGGTTGTAAAGTCACTTAGCAATAAGCAGCGGAGTTTGCTATTGCGGTTCGTCACCAGTTGCTCGAGGCCACCTCTTCTTGGCTTTAAGGAGCTCTATCCACCTTTCTGTATCCAACTTACAGACTATGATGACAACAGGCTCCCTACTTCAAGTACTTGTATGAATATGCTAAAATTACCCATGTTCACCAATGAAGATGCAATGAAAGAGAGGCTCATATATGCAATACAATCAAGATCTGGATTCGATTTGGCTTAAAAAAATTAAATTATCTTTTTGAAAAAAATTAAAATCAACAAAGAAATTAAGTGACCTAAATAGTCAAGCTTTGATCAGCAAGCCAATCTGATTGGTTTAAATATATCAGAATTTCCAAATTTTACAGACAAGGTCAACATCTTTTGTAATTGTCTTTGTCTATTTTCTGTAAAGCATCTACTGTAAATATTAAGCAACAATTTTACCCAACATGTGCAATGGAAACAATGGTCAGAGTAATTAAGGAAGGTATGTTTAAATGTTTAGTCAATGTGACTATTAATAATGATATATAATCAACCACAGTGCATGTTAAAAGTAAGACATTAATACCAAAAGGAAATATATCCATTTAAAAATTAACTAAAACTTGAAATATAATGTTAACAATAAAATTTCTTTAAGCATTAACCATTACTTTGTCAAAATGTACCAAACCAATTATTAGTCTAGTGATCTTCTTAGCTGGTCTAAACGAATACAATATGTAAAACTGTGGTCAACTAGGAAAATATAAAAGAGATTCAATAGTTAGCCTCATAACAACCCAAACTATGTTATGATAAAGAAACTTAAGTCAGATTCTGATAGTGGGGGAGAAATAGTTCTAGCTCCAGCCATCTGAGTTATTCCCAGAACAAAGTCAAGTACTCATTTTAGGGCCGAATAGAGCCCAGAAGTATATACCAAGTCAGTCTTATATATGTAAGAAAACTGTAACTGGAATTTAGACCATAAAATAAAGTGACAGTCTAAGAGGTTCAACTCAACTCTAAGAGACAAAAATAATAAGCCACAAAGTGGTTAATGGTAGTCAGTGACAAGGTGGAGTGAAGATTTTTGATGAAACAAGCTGTAAAACACTACCATGATCAGAAAATGAGTAAACCAAAGCATAAAGAGAATTCTACAGAGCATGTTTGCACAACGTGTACATTGGTATAATATTTCAATTTCAAGATAAATATGATGCATTTTTTTTATTACTTATAAAATATAGAGGAATATAACTGGTATTGCACGCATTAAATAAATGTTGTAAATTGATAATTATTTTGTTTAACACCAAGTATTTTCTTTACATTCTGATAGTTAATATTAAAAATTACTGTATGTTCTATTTTTCATGAATATGTTTAGAAACACAGAGTTATAAGAAACTAATCTAAAGAAAGCTTGCTATTAAGAATTAAATCATTATTAACATAGCTATTATTTTTATAATTTAGTTTGTAATCACAACAATAGTTTAGTTCTATTGAATCAGTGAGCGATTTTTTGAATAAATTAGTGTAAATAATTTTGATATAAATTGTCAGTTTCCATTTTGAAAAAGAAAGTGACTATTTTAGTAATTTCAAGTTTAAAAAAACAGGATAACTATTGCATTAAAAACAGGTATAATAAATACAAAACTAATTAATAAAAATTAAATATTTATTAAAAAGTAGGGATACAAAACAAGGCCAAATTCGATTGGGGCACCATTGTTGTAGCCATTTTAAAAACTACTTAACAAAGTAAAGAAAGAATCTTCAGATAATTTAATATTATATTTATATAAATATATTTGTGTATATATATATATTAATATATACAATTCGATACTATATTTACAATATATACTTCATTTAAATAATTGACGGGTGTGCATCATTAAAGAGCTTCCCATGAAAATGTAAAATATAAAATTAAAACAGAATGAGAAAGATTAAAAAAAAAAAAATTAAATCCTTAAGATTAATCAGCTATTGATTGACAATAGGTTTGATCAATTATCTTACTAAATAGCTTTTATTCTTTTTTAAAACAACACAGCCAAGCACATAATAAATCACCAGACAAAATGAGGTTAAGTTTGGTACTTTTTTTATACCAATTTACTTATTGTACATATATAAAATATATTTTCTCTTCAATAATAAATAGATAATAGCTATCAAATATATATAACATATATATATATGTATATCTACATCGGTTATATTATGTACAAATCTTACATAAGCATTTTCCTAAAAATTTACAAAGAAAAAACTTTTGATTTTTCGATTGTCGTAGAGAGAAAGAAGGAAGCAGTTTCCCTCATCTGGTAAGCATCAGCAGCCGAGGCAGTTGGTAGTACTGTCATTGTGGCTCCAGGTCTACCATCACTATAACAAAACACTTATATTTTAATAAACACCTAACAAGTAGTATAAAAACATAACTTTTATAATAAAACCACCTACATGATGTCCCCCTGGGAGTGGTGATTCGGGGATATGTTGGTCCATTCGACGCACCACTAAGCGACCTACAAGTGGACACGTTCACATGGAGAGGGTATAAGTGGGTCACGCTCATAGACCTTTCCAGCAAAGCGCAATGGCGTACCTGGTACAGGAGCGGTCAGCAGAGGCAGTCTTGAGAGCCCTCCAGACGTGGTTCCAATGTTACGGAGTACCCGATCGCATCACCTCCGACGGGGGCAGAGAGTTCGACAATGCCAGAATCAGAGCGGAGATGAAGAACGTAGGTGTCAGCTGGCATCTTAATACTCCAGGGCACCCCAAGAGCAGAGGAAGTATAGAGAGGCTGCACAGCACGCTTAGTGACCATCTCAGGGTGTATCAGGTGGAAAAAGGGTTGGAACCGGATGTGGCAATGCGCAAGGCGGTGGCAGCGTACAACCATTCTATACATACGGCAACAGGGTTCTCTCCATTCGAAATCCTCTTCGGATTACGCGGGCGGCAACGGGACTGGGGAGGTACAGCTACGGACGAGCAAATGACAGAAAGAATGGTTAGTAACAGAATGGAACTGGGTAATCTCTGGGGGAAGGTTAAGGATAAAATAGAGGGGAAAAGCGGAAAAGGGTAGCGCGGGAAAATCTCAAAGTGAAGGAAGTGACAGGGGGATTGAAAATCGGGTCCATAGTGTATCGCAAATTAGGCTCGAATAGGGGAAAGGAAGTGCGGAGATATGAGGGTCCATTCAGGGTGATAGTCATTAGAGAGCATAATGTGGTGACGATTGAGAGTGTTAACGAACCGAAAAAACGAAGGACGGTTCACATAGAACAATTAAAATTTCCGATTACAGAGCCACAGCAACCTTAGAACTGGAGTGCCCTCGTCTCCGGAAAGAAGATTTTTTTTTGTTTTGTTGTTTTGTTTGTTCTGTATATAGTGTTCTGACATAACGTTGTGTATATTTTGAAAGAAAAGTGCAAATGCAGTGAAGTTTCATTTGTGAGAAAAAGGTGTTATTTTATTTTTTTTTATTATTTTATTATATAAGGAATAATTTTGCTTGTTTTGCATTAGATTAGGTTGTAAGTACTGAACACTCCGTACCTGTGTTATAATGTGGACAAGAGAACCTTGTCATTGTACATATAAGAATTTTACTTTTGGTTTTTATGTTTTTTTTATTTTTTGAGTTTACGAAGAGTATCCGTAAACTGGTGGGGGGGAGTTAAGGTACGGAGCGGGACAGTATTAGCTTTAATACCTAAAGCATTTATGTAAACAACTCAGAATGTATATATAGGAGATTATAAGGAGCAATAAAGCAGTCTTGTTTCTGACTTCATGCGTGTTATTTGTGGATCCTTTACTCTTTTTTTTAAGTGTTTGAAGCCCGCAGCGTTTAACTTATATATATATATATATATATATATATATATATATACTGTTCGGTATAATATAGAAATTGTATGTAATATACAGAATTCTTTTTCCAAATAAAAATGCAATGTTTTATTAAAAAAAAAGAAGTTTTTTATAAAGAGATTTGTGATTTATACGCCGTTTGGCCACTTGGAATAACGAATACTGAGTTTTAAATTAGATAAAAACACGAATAATTTCTAAACAGTAACATTTACAATTACTTATAAAAAAAAACCTGTACCACTAACAACCTATGAAGGATCTTGGGTTCAGTGCAATGGGAGTAAGTACTGTTACAAGACTAACGTTGTGCAGAGAGGCGATGGGCCATTATCACGCTCAACCGCCACCTTAATTAATTATTTAATTAAGAATAACCACTTTACAGAGGCTGGATTTGCCTCAGGAGGGTTTCCCGGCTCCAGGGTCGACCCACAACCGGATTCGAACCTGTGACCTTGAGCTATGGAAGTCTGTGCTCACCCACTGAGCTACCCCATTCCCACAACACAAACGTATATATGTAATATATAGTAAGGAAAGTATTGCGATCGTGAAAATGTTCGAATCTGTGTTTTCAACGGAAATACACTTTTTGAGGTCCTCTGATTTCATACAACCATATCCCGCAAAATGGTTTGTGTGTGTGTTTTTGTATTCAGCCTAGCTCAAAAACGAAAAGTCGTACGAAACTGAATATACATATTCAAGTCACGTATATACCTGGGATGTTACAACAACTTTTTCATTAAAATCGGCTTACCCGAAGAGCACTTTATAAAGTAGCAACTTTATATCATCGATTGTACACATTTTTACAATTTTCTCAGAAACGATTACAATGATTTTGATTAAACTCAGTGTATCAATGTATGATTAAGTATTCTTTCATATCATGTAGGCCTTCTCCCTATTAGTGTCGCTTAACAGGGCTTAAATGCCCATGTCTTCCACGAAACTACATTTAATTTGATTTATTTTAAATAATTAACTATCTCTCCATGCTAGAAGTGATAAAAAAGGCTAAATATAACTTTTGAAAGAATTTGATTTTTAAATAAAGGAGAAAAAAAGAAAAATGCTTATCCAGGTCAAAAAGGAATCTCCGCACACCACATTTTTTAATTTATCATGTTTTCTTTGACCATAACAATTGATTAACTACCTATGCAAGGCGACCGTTAAACACATTTGCCATTTAACTTTTTTATAATCAGATTTTTATATATGTATGTAAGTTTTTATAACATACCGGAAGGAGTGAAATTCCTCGATAGTTATTACAATCCGTCCTCGGTCCCTTTTTGTGAATCGGAATAAGAATAGATTCTTTCCATTCTT